CCCGTGCCCGCCCAGCCCTGAGGCCCGGCCAGCAGCCGCTGGCGCCGGGCTCTGGAGGGGGCAGAGGGCCGGCTGCTGCCCGGGGAGCCGCGGTGCCGCCCCTGCCCGCAGCCCCAGTGTGGGGCTCCATTGGCACCCGGCTCGGGGCCACAGGAGCCTGGAGAAGAAGCCGTGCGGCCCAGGGAAGGGAGCAGCGTGTGGGGCGCAGGCTGGTGCCCCTGGGTGCAGCACCGGGCAGGGGCCACAGCTGCCAGCCCCACACACTGAGTGCTGGGGCCGGGGGGCTTCTCAAAGTTGAGGCTTCTCCAGACAGTGTCCTTACCAGACACTCGGCAAACTTCAACATCTTGTCTTTTTCCACCAGCTGCTTCAAATCCCTTCTCTTAAGGAACTTGGTCACATGAAGCAGCGTTTCCCGAGAGACCTGGAGAGCAGTAGAGATAGTACCACAGTCCAGGACATGTGTTACGTGTCCCTTTGAGAAGGCCAGGAGGAGGCTGCAGCCTGGGTGGTGACCAGGGCAAGAGGCAGCTAATCCCTCTACCAGGGGGACACCAGCAGCCCACAGCTCCTCACCTCTGCCACATGCTGGTTTTCATCATGGTAGTGGAATAATAGTGGACATAGGCTCTGGCACAAAATTGACTTAAGGAGCTTTTTTCCCTTGGCTACTACCAAATCCATCACCTTGCAGAAAAGGTAAAGGGAGAGGAGCTGCACTTGGCTGTTGACCTGTAGGATAGGAAAAAGACTCAGCTGCAACTACTCCAGGCTCACTTGAACAATGGCTGAAAAATCCACAGGGCACAGTTTCTGGGCAGCAGCCAATGCCCGTGGCTGGGGGCACAGACACTTACATGGTTAAAGAGCCGCAGGAGTGCCTGAGCCAGCTTTGGGGCAGTGGTACTGGATATCAGGATGTATTTGTTCTGGAGCACATTTTTGAGCACAGAGAGGGACATGCCGACCACATCTTCATCTGCATCGCCCAGCAGCTCAAGAAGGCTTTGAGACTGGCTGCATATAGGTCTGGCCTGTGTGGAACATAAGGCTGAGCTGGGAAACCATGAATGGCTGCACAGCAAACACCACCCTGGCACTGCAACCCCACCCTGCTGCTGCCAGGCCCAGAGGCCAAAGGGCTGTCCCAAAGCACTCAGGCAGGTGAGGCAGGAGAGCTGGGAGCAGCTACCTGAGCTCCTAAAACCCAGCCAGACCAAGGGGCTGCTTTGCCCAGCACAGCTTCAGCTGCTGCCCCATTCTCACCATCGAAGGAAATTTGCTGAGCACCTCGAGGCCTCTGAGCGCCAGGCGACGCCTCTGCCTGCACTTGCTCTGCAGGTGCTTTGACATCATCTCCAAGATGCTGTCACCACGTTCACACAAGTCCAGGCAATCCAGGACCTGAAAGGCACAGGGCAGTGACAGGGGATCCGGCTGGCAGGAGCCTGGAACTGGGCAGGGCTGGGCCCAGGCAGCAGCACAGGGCACGGGCACCGTCCCAGGCAGCTGTGGCTATGCAAGGGGACAGGGCTGGCAGGCAGCTCAGCGAGGTAGTGCTGGCCATCGGGCTCACCTCCACAAAGAATGCCAGGAAGGGCAGATCCCAGGGTGGTTCCTCTCTGCTGAGCAGCTGGAGCAGGCGGAGTGCAATCCCAGAACACAAAGAGAGGGAGGCACCGTGCATCTCCCTGTCAGAGGGAAAAGGCACCAAGACCCTGAGTTGGAGGGGCAAGAGACCGGGACTGATTCACAGAGATCCGGTCTTTCCTCACCACACTGGAGGGGATGGGGGTGCTTTGGGTGTAGGCACCTTCTGGGCACCCTCAGCCAGCATTTTCCACTCTGCTTAGCCATCCCTCAGTGACAAGGCCCTCTGTCGCAGAACCACAGGGACTGTGTGAGGCACCCCACGCACAGGGCACAATTTCAGAGGCAGTGGGGAGAAGGGGGTCTCACCTGGCCAGCAGACCCACGGCATAGTGCTGGGTGTCAGCACAGAGCAGCGTGTCC